ATGTTGAGGTTAATGTTTTAAATATAACATTTTGAATATAGAAATGATTTAAATAACAGAAAAGATGCTTTAAAAATTTAACTAAAACTGCCAGCAGGTGGCGTCAACTCACTGATTTTATCACTGAAGCATTCATTCAATTGATTCGTTCGAACAGCGGCTTAGCTGTTACTTAAAAAAAAAACTATTTTCGTTGATGAAATAGAGCAAAACAAGGCAATTGTGTTGTTGTCAGACAATGTAAGTCACTTAATATCAACTTCTTGTTTAATGAACTGTTGTATTAAATCAATATCACATTTGCAAACTCCCTTAATAATCATTAAAAGCTGTCACTCATCTTAGTTTATCCCGATCTCACATTTATAATCAACGAAGCGCTCTACACTGCACAATGAATCTCTTATTTACACCCCGTCAACACTGTGTTTGTTATAATGAGATATGTCTGTGATACATTACTCAACGCTGCAGAAACACGTACGTATATTAGAACCTTTGACGCTCCCTCAGCGCAAACACAACTATGCTTAAAAGCTAAAAGCTGTCAGTCGCACAGGTGCTCCTAAATATTATTTCATAGTCGCACGCAGTAGCTTCCAGTCGCACTGTAGAGCCCTGATAATGAGTTTCTTTTGTATACAAAAACCCTTAAAGTGATAAAAAAAGAAAAATGCAATAATTCTGTTTTCTATTTATTATGGATTATGATCTACAAGAAAAACCCTACCCCCCCCCCTGTTCTCTCTTTGTTGTTGTTGTTTTTGTATGCACCTGTTCTGTATATTGTAATGCGAAGATGTTTTGGTACGGCCAAATTGTTTGTACATTAATGATTGTTAAATAAAAAAAAATAAAAAAAAACAGCCACTTGCTTAGTTACTGAATGAACATGAGTCGATGACTCGCGCACTAAGACAGTGACTTACCGCCACCTACTGGCGCTTTTAGTATTTAAAAGAATCACGTTTCACTTTTTTTTTATTAATGATCATTGCATATTAATCTATTGAACTTTTTTTAAAATTTTATTTTAAACATTAATATTCTATTTATAAAGATAAAAAATGCATTAGAAAGTCAATTTAGGGGGCAAATATTGTCCTTTAATGGAAAAGGTGCAGTCTAAGAGGAGGGGGGGGGTTTAACAAAAATACACTGTTAAACAAAAATACAAGTTTGTTTAACAGTGGAAATTGAGTCTCTCATTATTTAAACATTATATGGTGATCATTTTCGACTTTATAAAATGATTCTCTCAAGTCTTGGCGATCGGCCCCAATTAAACAATAACGTAACACAGACATCTTTTTCTTATACATAGTTTAGTAGCCTACTAATCTTTTTTGGCATCATTAATCAACTTATTTCCTGGATTTTGTATCACCATAGTCCCTAAATGTATGTACATGCAGGAGATGGGATTCAAATCGAAAACATTTTCCCCCATTTTGTGTCCCCCCCCACTTCTCAAACCAAAGTTACACCCTTGTATACACATACATATATATAAATAAATATATATATAAAATTTCATTTCCATTTTGTGTGTTGAAGTACTGAAATAATTCAAACTAGTACTAGTATGTAGCATACATGTTAGCATACTAACCTCGGTCACTAAGTTGCTCTGGAGACCCGCGGGTTTGCCGTACTCCCATCCTCTAGTGCACGGCACGTTCTCCGTGTAGTTGCTCATATTCAGCGGGTACTTGTAAAGCTCGCAGTGACTGAACCCAGACCCCTTCAGCCACGGGGTGGTGAGGTTGAGGGACGCTTGCCTGGAGAGGTTTCCGAGAAGAGAAGACGGCGGCAGTAACGCCAGGTCAGGTTTGCAGTGGTAAGACTCGGGGATGAGCGTGAAGAAAACATCGCTGAAGAGATTCAACGAAACCGCAAAGTTTGGAAACCAGCTGAAAAGCGTTATGATCCTGTTGTATCGCCCATATCCACCAATCTGAGGGTAGATTTTAGTTTCAAACTCCATAACTAGAGTCCTTATCGACGGAAACAGCTGTTTCTCACAGACATTGGTCCTGTAGTGCTGAGGAAGAACTGCAGGAGGGCTGTCCACGCGCACGGGACTGATAGTCAACAGCACAGGGAAGTTCGAGTCATTTGAGCCAATCAGTTCATTCGGACGATTCGCGTAAACGAAGCTGTTCATAGATCCGATTCACTGATTCTTTTGATATCGCTCAAAAGTGTTCTTCGAAACGCCTGCGCGATATTGTTTCATTTTCGTAGGGAAAGCGGTTAACAGGGTTTCTGCAGGATTTTAAAGCTCAAATGTAAGACTTTTTAAAACCCTGCACAAATAAAATGAATACCATATAAGCAGGGAAGGGCAGTATCTATTATGTGTGTTGTATATATAACCAGTGTCGGGGAAAGTTACTTTTAAAAGTAATGCATTACAATATTGCGTTTACTTGTAAATTAAAAAGTAATGCGTTACTTTACTAGTTACTTGAAAAAAGTAATCTGATTACGTAACTTGCATTACTTGTAATATATTACCCCCAACACTGTATATATATATATAAATAATGTGGGGCTGGGTTTTTCACATGGCACATAAACGATGATATATTTCAGAGAGTCAATTCTGCTGTTTTCCACATACACCGCCATCTCTGGCAGTTCATTATAATGTATTATAATAAACATATCCTATCACACAGTATTCAAATCCGGAATAGATGGACTCTTTTCGAGATTAATGCAGATATTTGTGTGTGTATTCGGCCGTTCTGAAATATTGATTTAATGTTATACACAGTAATTGTTATGCTTACATTTAAACCTTCATTTTTATTTTATTTATTTTAATTATTGTGAAGTGAGATAACTGTGTATAACATATATACATAAATGTACATATATAATAAAACCTAAATTAATTGTTTCGCTGTAACTAGGCTACAATGACTTTTTAAAGTCGTTCTAAAATAGGAACCAAGCGCAATTCTCTATTAGTCGTAGTCTTATAGATTCAGTTTTCTACTTTTTCTGTAGCTTATTTTGAATAAAAAAAACATCTGTGTGGAGTTTGTATGTTCTCTCTGTGTTGATGCTGTTTTTTTTCAATTATTGCGAAGTGAAAGGAATGAATATGAGTGAGTGGTCACCAGGATCAATGGCACGGATAAACATGAATTATTATTGGAATAATCCTGGCCTGCCCCTGCTCTCTTGGCAGAATAGCAGGCTCATAATTGTATGGCTGTGGTTCGTTATACGAGTATGAATAAACATTTACAATTTCCTCAGCGTCCGAACTGTCATTGCGATCCATTGTTTTCCTGTTGTTTAAAGGGATAGTTCACCCAAAAATGCAAATTTGATGTTTATCTGCTTACCCCCAGGGCATCCAAGATGTAGGTGACTTTGTTTCTTCAGTAGAACACATTTGATGATTTTTAACTTTAACCGTTGCAGTCTATCAGTCGTATAATGCATGGCAATGGTAACAAAATCTATGAGAGTAAAAAAAACATGCACAGACAAATCCAAATTAAACCCTGCGGCTCGTGACGACACATTGATGTCCTAAGACACGAAATGATCGGTTTGTGCCAGAAACCGAACAGTATTTATATCATTTTTCACCTCTAATACACCACTTTGTCCAACTGTCTTTGAGCGCGCGCACGGCATCCGGTGCGTGAGGTGTGTACGTGCTCTGGCGTAGTTTATGCAAGTGCCGGAAGTGATCTCTCGCGCGTATACGTCACTCATTGGTTGCAGTCATTGTAGGTACAACGGCTAATCAAAATGGTACTTACTTGCGCTTATCCGGATTGTTCAAACCGACTTAAAACTAAAAGATTACGTTCTCTCGCGTGAACTCATTCGGGAGTGGTGACTTTCCACGTTTTCCCAACGTCTGAGCCTGCTCGCCTGAAGTTATGGTTGATTGCTCTTCAGCTGGATATCAACACACCCATTAACGTAAACTACGCCAGATCGCATACACACCTCACACACCGGATGTCGTGCGCGCGCTCAAAGCAGTTGGACATAGTGGTGTATTAGAGGTAAAATATGATATAAATACTGTTAGGTATTCGTGTCTTAGGACATCAATGTGTCGTCACGAGCCGCAGGGTTTAAGCAGATAAACATCAAATTTGCATTTTTGGGTGAACTATCCCTTTAAATTGACCGCACTCCCTCCTGTTACGTCACTTCTGGTTTTGGCGATTTTCAGATGTGGAAGTAAAGTTTTCTGACAAAAATGACTCCAGAAGCCTCAAGTATATTTTAAACAGAATCTAGTTCCTACATTATTTTTCTTTACATTGACTCACCGAGTCTCTAACCTGCAATATGCACTTTAAATTTGATACAAGACTTTTTAAGGACCCGCGGAAACCCTGTGTTTATCACTAAATTGTGGATTATAACTTGCAGTTATAAAAAATATTAACACTATTCATTATTAATAATGTTACAATGGACATGCAGCAGCAATTTAAAACTTAAATGTTTACATTTATGTTTCTAAATCCTATCCTCAAATTATTAATATCATATTTTAATAGCTGTTCAGTGAACATGGAAACACACAGAACATTCAGGGACTATATAACATGCCTACACTTAATTTGTTGCACATTGTACTTCTAATGCAATACAATTCATTGTTTAATCAATTGCATTTATTAATTCATGAAATATCATTCATTAATTTCTGTTTATCACTGTTTCTTTTACCATTTTTGTATTTCCCAATTTTATTTCATATTTTAGAAAAAAAGAAACAACAAAAACAATCTTTTCAAATTAGTGTCAAAAAAAGAAGGTTCCAAATGTGGCAACATACCTCATTTAGTTAAATGAACACTCTCAGTGGAGTGCTATGTTGAATAAAATGACATTTGTTATCATTTGTATGGCAAAAATAATCCTCAAGTGTTATGACATTAGCATCTTCATCCTACAAGAATGGCTGAATAGAACTTAGCATTAGCAAACAAATAACCACAGAAGCAAAGTCATTTCAAAAATTTATTTACGAACATAATCTCTGAGGAACAACAGCAGTTCTCGCGCTCTCTGTACATGCAAGTGTAGAAAATAACAATTTTGAATTTTTCCTCGCCGTTAACTTTTTTTTTTTTTAAATTTTATTACTTTCTCGCTTTTTGAATTGCAGGATATCAACACAGCTAAAGGTGAAAGTACTGGATCTTTGACAGCACTGACGATAGCATCAATAAACCCCTCCCCTCCCATAGCTGCTCCAACAATATGTACACAATTGAACTACATTGTACAAATAAAAAAAGATACATTGTTACATCACCGGCAGCGAGCGCGACAGTCTCGTTGCTGTTAGAACCTCACATTCTACGCAAGTTTAGACTAGTACAAAGAGGAGGGTGCAAAATGTCCTGGAATATTATTTACAGCTATGTACAACGTCTCGTTTACGCATTACAAGAGGAAAATTTACACAGCGGAGACCTTCAACTCAAACATACCACAGGTGTCAGAAAGATAATAAATAGGTTATGTCTCGCTATTTATGAAGAGTTCAACATGTTAGAGGAGTTCAATTCCATTTCAAGAATCATCTGTTAGATTTGTTGATACTGAGGAAAACAGTTTTTTAAAACAAGGCTTGAAATTGTGGCTCAACACCTAATCTATACAATCTATAACTGGAATAATCAGTAATCTGTGTACTTAGTAGAGGTAATGTGTTGCAGACAGAGGTCAGTGAGTCAACAGGCAAGCATGTGTAAGATTTCTGTTGTCCAATCTCATGGTCAGTTAGTCCCCAATATAGTATATTTAGAGTGAGTATTAAATAAAACTTTCATGTAAATTATGGCTTATAAGTGCTGAATAGTAAAGCCCAAACAGAACTCAGGTTATACTTTCTATCAAATCCCAATTTCAAGCCTTTTAAAATTGATTCAGTGGTGGGAACCCCCCCCCAAAGAAAGAAGCTCTCACCAGGGCAAAGGACAGTGGAAATATTCACATATCATCTTGTAAACAGTACATATACAGGGGCTTAATGATGATACATAAACCATTTGATTAACAAATCACTATTTCGGTTCCATGGGGGAAAAATGCACCTAATAACACCAAAAGCATTTATCTGAAATCAAGGGTTTTTGTTAGAGAAACCACACAACACAAAAGAAAGCACTAAAATCGGACATAATCGGAACAGAAAGCTATTCATATTGTGCACTCAGAAGAATCTGTTTGTAGACATTTTGGTTTGCACTGACACCTGTTGCACCCAGACTCAATGCACACATACAGAACTGCGTCATGTGGGATTTTCACAGACTAGCAACCACACATGAAAGAAAGAAATAGAGGGGGAGATAAATAAATAAAAATACTAGCCTGGATGGTTAAGCAAACATCACACAACCTCACACTGAAGTACAGGCAGGTAATGAGAAAGGGTAAAATATCAAAACCACATGTCAAGTTCACCCCCCCCCCCTCCCCAAAGAAAACAAAACAATATCTAATAATTAGAAATAACCCTCTTTAAAAAAAACAAAACAAAAAAACGCTAGTCCCCTCTGTGTTTACTGACAAATTTAAACAGCTAAATGTACTGTAAAGTTTATTCAGATGGTAAAGGACAAAATAAAGAATAATCAGAATAATTGATATTGGTGCATTTAAAAAAAATTATGTGAGAACATTCACAAGGAAGTTGAGGCAGAGAGCCCATGTATATGAATAGTAAATCCAAGAACTGAGATGTGTGTGTATGTTTTGTTCTGCCATATTGATCTGTAAAAGTCCTTATCAGTACGTTTCTAATAATGGAGCGTGCCGAGACATCACTTCTAAGTGTCACGCAATAAAAGTCACCTTGCTTTTGGACAAAAAACGTTTGTCTGATGCAATGATGCATTTCCTTCTATATGCAGATAAGATTGAGAACAAAACAGAACATTAAAAAACGGCAACAACAACAAAAAAGCAGGAATGAACCTACATATTTTTAAACAGGCAATGGGGTGATATTTGATTCTGATTTCCCAAACTCCTAATTGCTAAGATCTTTAAGAACGGTTGAATAGTGCTGAAGAGAGGGTATGTGTGGGGGATTAAAAAAACTTGCAGTTTCATGTCTTAAAAAAAAAAAAAGATTGTAACATGATCAGAGGGCATGACACACACACACACACACACACACAAACAAAACTCCCATGATTGTAACTGTACAATGTGTAATAAAGTCAAATATGTTCTACACCGTGCATGGCGTAGTTAACATTTAGACAGACCCAAATGAAAAGGCTCCAAATCACGTCCTATCCTACCTATGACTTGTGCAGCTTTAGAAGAAATCAGAGACGTTAACTGTATAAAGGCATTTTCTTGGTTTATACTTTTTATATACTTGCGTAATAAAATGATGAATAATATACCTCTACTATTCTTTAAATAAATCCATAATCACTCTGCTACATCTGAAAACTATGGTCCTGGCCCTGACAGAGTAATCGGGAGAAATGGTGTTTCCTAATGACGGTGGTGATGACGATCTAGATTTACTTTGACTAGCCTTGGACAGAAACCTTAAGGACCGCTGCATGGAAGTCTTGAAAATACTGACGATGCGTACACCTTTTGGCCGGGGGGTGGTGTGTTTGTTTGGTGAGGGATGTTGGGGTGAGGGGGAAGTGCTGCCTGAAAGTGAACTGTACATACAATGATAACTTTTATTCATTTATTTTTTTTTTACACTTAACTGAGTGATGTTACAGTACATAAGTTATTTACAACTGTGCAGTAATGTGTGGCAAAATAAATTATCTAGAAGGCAGCGAGAATACATTGGTTAATGATTATAAAAACTGTACATCATTTACGGAATACTTTTTTTTTTTTCAGTTTTGTATTTTTTTTCCATTAAACTAATGTTGGCTCTGTAGTGTTTCAAGTCACTTCCTCAGAAAGGGAACAATGAAATGCCCGAGTAAAGAAAGACATAAACCAAAAACAAACATTTAAAAAAAAAAAAAAAAAAAAAAAAAAGGAAAAACTATAATCTTCGAAGTCCTTGTCTCGTGATTTGTGACAGCAATATTTGCTCTTTCATTAGTCTTTTTCCTTAAGCAGTTGTTTGAAACAAGGCATGTCAGACCTGGCAGCATCTGGGACCAAATGCTCTGTTGTCACCATGTGAGGGCACTCTAGGTCTCATGCCCTGTGAGGATGCCCTAAAATTGAACGCAGTCTCTCCTCCCGGCTCTGTTACTGAGCTGCTGCCCCCTGCATGCAGCTTCCTGCCCTGAATGTGGGGCTGCATGGGGTGCTGTACAGCAGGAAAGCCACTCTCTCCACTGCTGTAGGCATTATAGACTCAGGTTCAAACAGGTTGAGGGTTTGTTAGCACTCCTGTCACACTCTCGTGTCTTTTTGACCGTGTTCGCTGTTCTGTGTCCACCACTGTGCCGTCTGTCCCCTTGTTCTGGAGCACACATGTGGACGAACCTGTCTCAAGCTCCATGTCTGTTGTAACTTAGTATGGGTATAAAAAATTCTGTCCCATATGCTCGCCCAAATACCCAAGACAGGAGGGACAAGGTTCAAAGCAATTTTGCTTTTAAGATCCCAAACAAAACCATAAAAACTTTAGGATAAAAGTGCAAGTTGTGTTTTTTCTCCCGTAAAAAGACGGTTCCTCCTCGGGCAGAAAAGGATGAGTTTTGTCATTTACCTTTTTTCTATATAATATATATTTTCTCTCCTCAAAGAAATCTCCTCAAACCAGCTAGCCCTTACCGAACTTTGTTTGATGTCTCTTTGACAGATGATTGATATTAGACCGAACTCTCAGAGTCTCAATGTGTGTCTGTGTCACGCAGGCAACAGTACAAAGTCGTCGTTGACGTCGACCATTGGCACATAGAAGGAGGGGACCTCGTTCACACACAGAGATTTGTGTCCAGCAGGGTCCAACTCCTGTACCTTAAGTTGCCACTCCATTCTCTGCACTGCATTCAGAGCGGCGGCCTCATGCTGCTGCCGCATTAGCAAACACGTCTGTCAGAAGATGATGATTAGAATTAGACTTTGGAAAAAATATTTACAGTACTTGCACATTTTAGGCTTAAAATGACACTTAGACGTAAAAATCGAACCAAAGATAAAAATACATGGAACTTGTCTCAGGTCCATTTAACACATGTGGGTCTATATATGAGTCATGCATAAGGAAACGCCTCACCTTCATGCGGTCGTACTTATCATCCACATCTTGAATCCAGGAGATAAACTGGCGAGCATTGAAGCGATCTCTCACAGACTTGTTTTCATCCCCCTGAAGAACAAGATTTGTTACAAATGTAATCAAATCTATACTGAAAGGCTTTTTAACATCTTTGCTGTATTAACAATAGTAGATAAAATGAGTACTCACCTGGCTTTCTGATGGCATGTTGTAGACTTCTGAATCCAGCAGCATTGTGCAAGCACTGAAAGGAACGGCCTGATTTGCGATCGTTCTTGCTGCTCTGCAATGAACTCGCAGCACTTCTTGCTCACAAGATACAATCAGCTTCTCCTGTAAGGGGGCATACAATCAGAGCAAGACTGGACATCCAACTGATCCAGTGGTACCTTATGAGCATTCATCTATTAACCAAGGGACAAAGCTGGTAAACAGTGTTGAAACGATCAAGGTCTGCAAGTCACAGTAAGAACATTAGGAGAAAATTAAATGAAATGGGGAGCCTGATCGTACTGCAATATGCTTGGTTAGTTGAAATGTATATTGCAGATAAGTTGCTATTCTATTACACAAAGCCTTTGATGATTCATCAAAGGATTTGTGCCGTGTGATTGTTGCATCCTAACAGGGTGACTTCTGAAATGATGCACAGAGAGGAGAAAACAGACAGACCAAATAGAGAAAGACTAAAGGCAAAGAGTAAAAGTTTACCCTCTCAATGCTGTGCTGCAGTCTTAGTTTTCCTCTCACTGCCTCTTGTTGTCTGAACAGCTCCTTCAGGGGCTCCGACAAAGATGGGGGTGGAGCAATCTAAGATAGTAGGGAAGTTTTTCACGTCTTATTCTGGAAAACTCTGAATTTGAATGACTAATATTCAGGAGGACATCCCTGTAGCTTTATGGAAACACATTAATAGAGATAATATACGGTGTCCTAACCAAGAATGGGGCAAAATCTTGCTCCATATAATACATTAAACATTAAATATGTTCTGATTGTGGCTGTATAGTGTTGCACACCATATTCACTTTGAGCATGGACAAAAAGTTAATTGTCAGTATAATCATACTCCTGGTTAGGACACAGTGTTAAGAGTCTTTATGTATAGAGTACACACACACAGAATCTTACCACAGGAATATGAAGCTTGCTCAAAGGCTTGCCATCAAGTAGATAGGAGCCTGTGTACGTAACATACTCTGCGTAACACTGGGGAGCTTGAGGTGTTATGTAACACAAAATCTTCCGCTTTTCCTCAATTTTCTTGCGGATCTGAAGGTACTCAAAATAGGGGTTGGAACGGTCACTGTGGTATGGCTCGATTTCATCCAATTTGATGGCATTCACAATGACTGCCAGTGTCTGCTGGATCATCTCCCGGGTCTGCTTCATGGCTGTGTTCACAAGCTGAACCTGCACTTGTTGCTGGCCTGATTTTGAAAACTTCCTCTTGCGTGGATGTTGGGACTGGTTGTCGTCATCCTCAACAGGCCTGCCTTTTGTTTTGGTGATTAGTGCAGGTGTGGACGTTTGAGCTGTGGTTGAGCTGATGGGCTCTTTCTCCTTTTCTACAGTGACACAAGAGGTGGTCACACTTGTGGTGACTGATGAGGAGGATACTGAACAGGTGACGCTTGATGAGCTTAGAGCAGCACTCTGCTTGTTCTGATTGGCCAGCATCTGAGCCTTTTTCCGGGTCATCCTCTGAGGAATTTCCTCAATTTTCTTGGGTGCATCAGACACTGGTATGGTCACTGACAACTTGGCGGTTGTTTCAAGAGCCTCTGATACAGTGCTGCTAGGCACTGAGACAGTTGGAACCTGAACAGAAGAATGAGGGCTACATGAGGGACCCAAAGCTACCACAGGATTTTGTCCTAATAAAAGTGGTTTTGTGGTGGCTGGTAGATCCAAATATTGCACCATAACTGATGGCATCATGGTATCTGGAGTTGTTTCTTTTTGCATGTATTCATGGTCCTTTTCATTTTCAGTAGAAAACAAGTTAACATTGTTTTCATTCACATCTTCAAACGCTCTCCTCTCCTCTGGAATTGTTTCTTTCATGGGAGGAACATCTGGGATGTTCTGAGGCTCTGGCTCCAACTCACACAGTGGTCTATAGCCATTGTCACTTATTGGAGGAACCAAATCCTGACCAGATTCAGTCAGAGGCACAACTGCAGGAGAACAAGGAACTTTGGACAAACTTGGCAGGTCAACATCCATTATTTCATTTTCACTTGTCTCAATGACTGGAGGTCTTGTCTGAGAAGGTGGATGCTTACTCTCTGCAATCTCTGGGGCTGTTATATCAGGGTCCTGCATCTCTTTCTCTGGAAAAGGAAGGTCTGGTATAGAGAAGGGTCCCATGTCATCCATTTCATCAGCTGCACTTGAGAATGGATCCACCCATGAAACAACTGGTTCTTGGCTGACTGGCGGAGCTGCAGACATGATGTTCTCTGCAGCATAGGTGGGAGACTCTTGTCTATTGTCTTTCATCATACATGGGGGCTCTAGGTCCATTGGATCTTCGTCAGGATTTGGTTTGCAATGAGTGAAGAAAGTTTCTAGTCGAGATGGTTCTGACTCCAATGCCTCTGTTACAGGTCTTTCTGGTGATTGAATGTCTTCCACTGTGTCTTTGTGGACCTCATAATGAGAGTCAGATATTTGTGATGGACAGTATGCTGTAGAATAAGTAGAGTGAGGTGGTGTCACAGGCATTACACTTGGAATATGCTGCAAATCACAATCTGAGTGTGAATAGGGACTGCTAATCTTTGAGACAGCTGCCTCAACCTCTCTGTAAGTCTCATGAGGAGATTTCATGAGCACTTCTGAATTCCAGCCTAAGGACTGATCACATGAGTTGTCCATGTAGTTGTCTTGCAGATGGGTTGGTGTTAAGGGAAGTACATCAGGATCTCTTCTATCTGGACATTCAAACCAAGCCTTTTTGTCCGATTCCTCAATCCCAAAGGAATAAGTGGGGTCATTTCTGGACTGGATGGTGTCGTCTGCAGCGTGGTGATCTCTGGCATCCTCAACAAAATCATCATCTTCCTCCTCATCTTCTTCTTGCTCTTCAACAACAGGAGGCAAGTAGTCACTCCCACTAACAGGGTGGGCTGGTGTTAGACCAGGTCCACTTTGGTGTGGCTCTGAAAGATCATCAATATCCATGGGAGGCAGGGCAGCAGGTGCTGGAGTTGGGGGAGCAGCTATATCCAGACAAGGCTCCTGGGGGTCGGGTTTATGGACTGGAGTTGAGGGCTTCATAAGATAGTTGTTAAAGACACTTCCTGAGTGTTCACTCCCATCGTTGATGCAATTTACAATAGATGCTTCATCTTGCACGCCATCATGTTGCGATGGGTCAGGCATGGGAGACATCATGTCGATAGGTGATGAACAGAATGTAGAGGAAATGCAATTAAGTCTGTCAGCTGCCATCTTGTCCTCAATAAGATGTGAGGCTGAAGACTCAAATGTTGTGCCATCTGGTGTATGTTGCTGTCTTAACTTGTCTGCCTCTACTTTGAACTCAATCTCAAGTGGTCTTCTGACATCAGCGGTGACAGACCGACTCACAAGGGGTAACTGCATGTTCTTTGCTGGTGTTATGCATGTTTCCTCCTGGACATTACTTGATGAGTTAGAATATCTATCAAAGAACAAAGGAGAGCAGGCATTTATGCTTGTGGCCGAGGAATTCTGACACTCAAGATTCTCAAACATGATATCAGGATAGTCCTCAGCACTGCAGGATGGAGTGCGTGGAGTTTGCATGACTTCCTCATAGCTTGGACATGAGATCACAGATGTTGGGGTGGGGACACCTGTTGGTCTGTTCTGGTCAGGTCGTGGAGATGCAGGAAGACTTTCCTTCATTTGGTGGCCAGCAAGCCAGTCTTTCGAGTTCTGACTGTCCATAGGTTGTGGTTTTCTGTCAGGCGACGTCATTTGGGTTGGAAGGCCAATATCTTTTAGCTTTTTCTCTTTCAAAGTAATTTCCACTGAAGCAGATTTTTTGGAGAGTTCACTGCGGTTCTTCTTCAGTTCTTCATTTGACTTAGTTTTATCTTTGAATTTAGGGTCGCCTGATCGATGCCTCAATTTTTCCATCTGTTTCATTCTCTCTTTGTGTTTCTTATGGCGCTCTTCAATTTCCTGATCTTTTAAACTAAGCATTTTGCCAAAACTTGTTAGTCTAAGATCTCCATCAACCAAAAGCTTTTCGCGAGGGCGGTTGTCCTTTCGAGCGGTCTCTTTTGACTGGCTGATTTTGTCATTCTCATCTCTGACCTTTGCCTTGATATCTGCTCTATCTTTATCCATGATATCTTTATTTCTCTCCTTATTTTTCCCATCAAATTTAGAACCGTCTTCTTTAGATTTCTCTTTAAGACTTGTGATTTGAGTGTTTTCCTTCAATCCAGATTTTAGTTCCTCTTTTGAGTGCCTGAAGGAGCCAAAACCATCTGAATATTTATGCTTTTCTTCTTTCACTTTTTCCTTGTGTTTCTCTTTCTTCTTTTTATCTTTTATTTTCTCACTGTTCATGACACTATTTGTCTTGTCCTTTTTGGACATCTCCTTCTCAAATTCCAGAGTTTTTTCCAAGTCATCCTCACCATCAGCTTTGGAACCATATGGAAAAGTGTAAGGGTCAGCCTCCAAAGGCATGGGCTCTTTGTCAAAGGGCAAGCTTTCTCTGCGACCATAGGATTCTCTGATCTCCTCCGACTTATCTTTTTTCTCCCCCTTTTCTTTCTTGACTTTCTCCTTGTCTTTGTCATGACTCTTTTTGGATGATGAGGATGATGAATGTCTATGCCTCTCTCTCTCTCTGAACTTGTCCTGTGGATTAGAAATGGATACTGACTCTCTTCTCTCCTCGGATATGTCAGGTATGCTGATGTTGGAGGAATCATAGAAGCTGCTTAAAACAGGCTCATGACCTCTGTCTGTGAAACTGTCTGATGAAATTTCACTATTTCTATCATTGGAATCATCTTTATAATCATTCATAGCCTCTTCTTCAAGTTTCTCCAACAAGGATTTCTCATTTTCACCAGTCCCCTTTGAAAATTTTCGTTCTTTTGAGTGCTCCGTCTTGTCTTTGTATTTATTTTTGCCCTTTTCTTCACTGATGTCTCTCTTGTCAAGAAGTTTCTGCTTGCTTTTCTTCTCTTGATTTGAATCCACAGATGATCTGTCCTTACGTTCCTTATGTTTTGTGTCAGTTGAATCTTTGTCCTTTTTATCTTTGTGTTTTTCCATGGAGGCTTTTCTCTCTTTTCCAGCATCAAATGTTGCCTTCTCTTTTTTCTTATCTTTATGTTCCTTGTCTTTTTGTTTTTCCGTGGAATGTGTTTTGCCCTCAGAGTATTTCTTATGTTTGTCTGTTTGGAAATTATCAATTTCATCTCTGTCAGGTGTGGAATCTTTCCTGTGTGAATCTGACAGTCCAAGAGAGTCACTAAATTTTGCAACACCCCCATTATAATTGTCCTCTTCATCCTCACTCTCATCTGTAAAAATATCTGCAATTGTATACCATGTCTTTTCTCTCACCTTTTCAGGTTTTCTCTCTTCTTTCTTAAACTCCAAGAAATCTTTTTCTCTATCAGCATGTTTGTCCTGGGATGTCTTTTCTTTTTTATCTTTATTCTGTTCAGACGACATCTTCCTTTCTTTTTCTTTGCTATGAGAATCTTTATGCTTTTCTTTAACCCCATCTCGCTTGTCTTTAGAGGCCCTTTCTGGGTCTTTCTCTTTCATTGATCTATCAATTGAGTTTTTCTCAGGTTTGTCCTTTTCCTGGTCCAAATTTCTGTCCTTAGGCTTGTCCTTGTGTTTTTCTCCTTTGGATTTCTCTTTCTTTTCCACACTATCCATTTTCTTCTCCCTTTCCTTTCCAGAGTGGTTCCTCTCCCTGGGGTCAGACTTGCAAAAGTTTTCATTTTCTGGTTTGTCTTTAAAGAAGGCCTCACTCCCATAGTCATCTCTCAAAGATTCTTGTTTCGTTTTGGAGTCTTTCCTTTCTTTAGTAAACTCATAGGAGTCTTTTCTGTCTCTGCTGCCATCCACAGAATCCTTCTCTTTCTTCTCTTTGACACCCTCTGCTGATTCTTTTCGTTTCTTCTCCTTTTCCAGTGACTGACCAGAATTAAACTTTTGTTTGTCTGTCCAGTCTTTTTTCTTTTCAGCATTCTTTTCAGAGGATTCCTTGTCTTTCTTCTTTGACGCATGATCTGGCTTTTTATCTTTGACCTTATTTTCCTTTTTTCTGTCCCTGCTTTCCTCCTTGACTGTTTCTACAATTAACTTGACCGCATTATTTGCTTTGTATTCTTTTACAGGAGCGTCCCAGCTATCATCTCCATAAAGCGAACTGTCAGAAGACATGTCTGACTGCCACCGATCATGGGGGTCATCTGATGCACTCATCTTGGTGTCCTCTAGTAGGTGATTTTTTAAGTCATAATCTTCATAATCAGGTTCTTCCTTGATGTTTTTATCCCTCTTAGACTTTTCCTTTTCTTCCTTTATGCTTTTCTCAGATTTAAAATGTTTGTCTTCTTTTTGCTCATTTTTTTTGTCAATTTTAAGAGACTTATCTTTAGACTTTTTCTTTTTATCATCTTTATGGGGTTTCTGCTTCTCCTCTTTTGCCTTGTCTTTGTCTTTTATGCTTCTCTCCTTCTCAGTCTTCAAAGGTTTGTCCCTCTCCTCTTTGCTCACCTTTTCCTTGTTGGACTCCTTTGTCTTCTTCGACCTCTCTTCCTTGATCACCCTTTGAGTTTCTTTACCTGGCCAGTCCTTGTCTTCTGATTTACCCTTAGACAGTCTGTCCTCCTTCTTAAAATGATCTTTCTCATGTTTGGAAAGTTTGACCCTATTTTCAGAAGGTGCCTCTGTCTCAACAATAAGCGACTTCAGTCGCGTATCGTCAAAGTCAAAAGAAAAGCTCTTGACAAACTTTTCATTCATGTCTTGACTTAACACGACACTTGGAGCCTTATCTTTTTCCTTACTTTTGTGTTTGTGTTTCACTTTGTGTTTCTTTAACACTTTTCCATCTTTGTCTGTTTTAGAAATGGTCCCATCTGCGTTTGAGTTCTTGTAAAACTCAGAGTTCTTTTTGTCTACCACATTGGCATGCGTGTTGTTTTTCTTTCTGTTATCTTGCACTTTCTTTTTCACCTGTTTCAGAGATTCAATGCTGGAGTCGGCAGAAGAGTAGTCTGACTCGCTGGAAAGCCTTGTCCTGACTGAGTCCGAGAGGGAACTGACATCAGACCACGTTGGAGAGGACACAGTCTTCCAGCCATCTGTCCTCCACTGCTTTGGGTGCTGCTCTGCCAGAGACTGTGTGTGTTTCTGAGAGCCCAGACTCCCATGCGTGGAGGATGAATTCGAAATAGACAGAGAACTAAAAACTGAGGGTTCTTTGAGGCTCAAGGTAGAAGAGTCCTTAACACAATTTGCACTCTGCATGGATCCTTTATCATCCTCACTCTCCAGGTCCCCAATCTCAGAATCTGAGGTGCAAAACTTGTCATTCACTTTACCAAAGCGCACCTCCTTACTAACATTATTTTTTGTCTCCTTCTTCCTCTTTTTCTTGACTTTACTTTTGTCTTTTTGCTGCTTGGAGCTCAGTGACGTCGAGTCCCGGATCTTGACATTGGTCTGAGGTGTAGTTTGCCTTGGCGTGGTCGTGGGTGTGAAACACAACGTCCTGTCATCCTCGTCCGAGCTGTTGCTGTCCGACAGGATCCTGCGCACAGCCTTCTTTGGTGTTAGCGAGTTGCTTTTGGAATAGGTTTTAACCTCCATCTTGGGTATGGAGATAAAGTTGTTTGTCTTGCTGACGGGTTCCTTGCGGAACTCTTTCTTGAGCAGATGCTTGTCGTCCACAGGTGGGACACGCTCCTCCTCATCATCCTCGTCAAACTCGTACTCATCCTTGACAGGAGTGGTGGTGGATTTGGGTGGGTCCATGCCCTTCCCTTTTAATTTCAAGCCCTTCTCAAACTCTGAGTCTGTATTATTGCCATCAACAGAGCTGGATGGGGCAAATGATGGAGCATCTTCCTCTTCAGAAGAATCTGCTGATACACACAAGAATTCTTAATATCAACATAAGGCACATATTTCCTGTTAGACAATTTCTGGAATTATTCACACAAGAACTGCATGATAACACACCTGAGGAACTCTCCTCACTGGAGGTGTAAGTGCCTTTTCCCAGCAACAGATTAAGCATTGTTTGCGAATTTGCCACTTTTAATGGAGTCTCTCCTCTTCTGTTGCTTTGACAAGGATCCCCTCCATATCGTAACAGCAGCTTCACAACCTATAAAACCAGAATATGGTTGTCAATGCCAATTTTAAAATCTTAAAATAAACCTTAACTTGGAATGTCTGTTCTGAGGTACGTACTTTGAGATGGCCATTGTTAGACGCATCATGTAGAGGCGTGTCGTCATCCAGGCCCTTGGTGTTAACCTCAGCCCCGGCTGCCAGCAGCTGCTTGGCCACATCGTAATACCCTCTGTTACACGCCTCATGCAGTGCAGTCCAGCCTAATATAAAGAGCATGTCACTATTAAATGTTTGCTCATCTATGTTATGGAAAGAATTTCATGACCATTTTAACCAGACTGAGATAGTAATCACTTAATACCCCATTTAAAGCTGCAATCCGTAACTTTTGGCGCTCTAGCGGTTAATAAACAGAACTGCGTACGTCTTGCGGAAGAACATTGTAGCCGGAGGTACTTCTCTTTGTTTATGTCTATGGCGAATCACACAGGTACTGGGCTACTCCGCAGCAGTACCTACCCGAACCAGTCTAAATAGTCTGAATATAAACACTTATTATAGGTGTACCGTAGTGATTCAGGACAAGCCAAAAACACAGTTTGTACTCGCTTATATAAATTTTGAACACAAAAAAAAGTTACGGACTGCAGCTTTAATATAAACAGAATTTTACAATACTAAGGATGAAGTCAGGTGATTTCTGATGTCTGCCTTTACCTGCAAAGTCTTTTACATTCACGTCAGCTCCCTCGCTGATGAGCTCCTTTATCCGGCGTGCCTCCCCACGTATGGCTGCTCGGTGCAGCCGCGTCTCACCTCTCTCATTCCGCTTGTTAACTTTGTCTTTGGTTTTTGAGGCAGAGTTTGGTGTTCCCTTCTGACCCAGACTTGACTGCGATTGATGCTTTGGTGTTGTGTCTGAACAAAAATATCAGAATGAACAGCAATTAGTTATGGAAGTGATTCTCAACCAGGGGACTGGGGCACTCCACAGGGTCTCAGCAATATTCCAAGGGGGTCACAAGATAGCATGGTAACTTCTTGGTAATTTCTATAATAACAATAATTATGCTTATTGTAAGTAAAAATATTTCTAAAAAATCCTCTTCCAGTAATCACAAACAACTAGTCAATTTGTTGGTGAAAAAAGTGTGGTTCCTAAAAACACTCTTCAGTTCTTAGCTTTGTAATCATTATACCTGAAGTATAAGAGGAAACATATTAACCTACATGGGGTAGGGGGAGGGGCTTCAAATACCCTCTTCAACAATGGAGGGCCTTGGAGCCAAAAAGGTTGAGAACTGCTGACTTAGTATGAGCAAATGACCGAGTCATGTTTGCTCTGACCTCAAGGTGGCAGTCTTACACAACAAACATGGCAAACGACACCTGCCTGCATTACATCTTTTGGTTAAATTACACAATTTTAACAGAATTTCACATCTTGGATTTGTATGATATTGCCAATAAAATTAAAGCCCATTAAATCAACAAACTATTCAGTTTGTAAACAAGGTAGTTTGTGACTCTGGACCACAAAACCAGTCATAAGTAGCACAGGTATATTTATAGCAATAGCCAAAAATACATTGTATGGGTCAAAATGATAGATTTTTCTTTTATGCCACAAATCATTAGGATATTGAGTAAAGATCATGTTCTATTCAGATATTTTGTAAATTTCCTACCGTAAATATATAAAAAATGTATCATCATTAGTAATAGGCATTGCTAAGGACTTAATTTGGACAACTTTAAAGGCGATTTTCTCAATATTCTGATTTTTTGTTTTTCACCCTCAGATTCCATATTTTCAAATAGTTGTATCTCGGCCAAATATTGTCCTATCCTAACAAACCATAAATCAATGGAAAGCTTGTGCACGTTTCCTGTAGTCTTTTGTTTAGGAAAAATAAACCTGGTGAACTATTCAAAGAGAAAGAGCTAAATCTGAGTAATGTAATAGAGACATGCATACTTGAGAAGTAATAAACTTTATAGAAAAAAAAAACAGTCTAGCTCAGTAAACAAACTGTCAATAGACCTTTGAAATAAATGTAACGCAGTCCAAGGTTTTATTTTTCTCAAGCTCCAACATAACAGTCCTGGAGGGCTGATGAACAACAGTGGATTAAGACTGCAGAGGTTAATTTCACTGAAGTAACCGAAATTGATGAGGCTTATCTTGTTTAATTGAATTCTAATAAAGTGATGTGGTGTGTGTTTAAATGAAGAACAGCGTGAAAGTGCAGCAGGGACAGTGGAAGCTACTGAAACCACTGGGCCCCCTCCTGCTCACAGCTCCGGAGACGTGGCGCTCATGACAAATATGCACCTGGACTGTTTACGGACTCCTCCGCCGTCATCTGCATGAGAAGAGCCACCTGCTGCCGCTCTGAGAGGGGGTACCCGGCCCGGATCCCTGGCATGCCCATCCCAAATGGCAGGCCTGACTTCCTGGTGTTAGTGGGCTCTTTTTTAATGCGCTTCCGCTCTGGACCGTGTTTTTCTGTTGGGGAGAAAAGAGGGGCATATTAATCCATATGACTTTCATGAACTTCGTAGTCCATCTAAGTAAGCTAGCACAAGTTATTATGCATTCCCATGTATGTAGGGCTGTGCAAATAATCAAATGCGATTTTCATGCGTATCTTGTCAGAAGGGCTGGGTGATATAGCTAAAAAATATATCAACAATATAATGTTTCATATCGTTCGGTGTCGATAATTATTGACATTTTTTTTAACCTTTTTTAAAACAGAGAAATAGAAAAAAGTTTAAATTTAACCACTGTATTTTTAAATTAACAATTTATTGAGACAAACAACAAATATTTTTTGTTTTAACAATCAAACACAAAATAAAAATTAAACAAATATCTAATTTCTAATGTTTTATATACAGATTAAATAGGTCTTAAAGAAACTTTTGCCTTGTCTCCCAAGGCCACAGGAGGGCGCAATGAGCAAAATAATGCAGCACATTTAAATGGTCAATGCAAGGAAGTAACTCTATAAAAAAAACTTGCATTACGTTTAAATTAACTCATAAAAATCAAATATTATTTCGTAAATTGCATAAACAATTATGAAAAAAACAGCATCATGTATTTATGCATTGCTTAATCCAAAGAGCCGAAGCGCCATTCACACAGATTGCATTTAAAAACATATGAGACGCAGTGAAAAGGAATAAACCTCCATAAATTCGTGACATGTTTTTTAAAAGTTTAAACCGTTTTAACTTTGCATGGCTTTCTGTACATCTCTTGTGTGAGACGCGAGTGCAGCAGTCGTATTTGTCCATCTAAAAAATGCGCTGAATGTGCGTTCCGCGTGAATGGCTTGGTTTCGGTTTTAACCGAATCAAGATCTTCTCCGCATTGAGCTTCTATATTTCTCTAATATTTTGAATGAATAACGTCTCTTGGGCTAAACTAACAAAACATTCAAATGCAACAACGTCACTTACATTATCTCTGCATCTCGCGCACCACTGATGACGCTCCCTGACACACTCCTAACATTCAAATGCAAATGTTTATTTTAAATTCGACTAATATTCATTCTTTATTCACAATCTCCTCATCACAGGCAGGCACAACACTCATTACAGCAAGTGTTCATGTTTGTGTGTGCTGTCTGCGTCACTCATAGCACCTGCCTATATCGTGCACTATATCGAACATTTTTTCTATCGTTATCGAAGAAGGTGTACCGTCGATAAATATCGATACCGTTTTATCGCCCAGGCCTATTTGTCAGTAAAGCGGTTCTGTGATTAGTAGTAAATCTCCAGCATGTGCGTTCAGATAGTTCATTTACTACACAGAGCCGTAGATCACTGACAAGCTATGCAAAAATCGCGTTCATAATCGGCAATGAATCGCCTGCGATTTTGAACGGGATATTGTGTAGCTTGTCAGTGAACTACGGCTCTGTGTAGTAAATGCCACTCCATCTGAAAGCACGTGCTGGAGATTTACTACTAATCACAGAACCAGCTTTAATGACGAGATACACATGAAAATCGCATTCGATTATTTGCACAGCCCTACATGTATGCCATCTTTAGTAGCCTGAAGGTCAAGTGAAACCTTGGGTGAATTCCCAGCCGCTTGGCCCATGTGAAAGCCTGCTGGTGACAGCAGCCATAGTGTGAGATTACCCAAAAGCCACATGGGGAGGGAGGGGTTCTCCGTTGCTATTCTAGCATGTGTGTACGTGTGTGTTTCTTTAAGGCGATGACTTGGCAGCCTGTCACCGATTACAAAATGGCCGGTGTTCACATTTCAGTGTGGCTGAGGCAAGGTCACCGCTGCGTTTGGACAAAAGCAGCTGCTCTTCACAGAAACACCCATCAATTATTCTCAGTATGTCAGCGTCAACATATCTGCCTTACAATACAGCCGTCCAGTTCTTTACAGTCGTCTCACCCGTGTTATCGACTTACAGTGGGAGAGCCAGCTTTGTGTTTGCCAGTTTCCACTGCATGACCCCCAAGCCTCCAACTGTACAAACATGCCTAAAATGTCACATACGCATTCCTGTGCCATTAACACAAATAAAAACCCAATGAGGTACAACAATCCTGTCACCTAGATTTTTGCTCTTGTTTAATCTATGGAAGATTTACAAGCCAGCTTGTTGTTCCCAATGTAGTGATTTGCTCAAGGCCACAAGCATAATTTATAGGGAGAGGAAGCCAGACACAAATGCTTCCAGTAACAAAGATCTTTCCAGGAATTATTCTTCACGGTTTTGGGCTGATGAATATTCTGTAACATCTGTAAACACTTACGTGTACTGTACCCCAACCTCTTGAACACACACACACTTGCCATATAGTCACATTCCTGTGATTCAAACCTTGAAGAGCATGAAAAGCAGAAGCAGTCTAAACATGTTTATTACAGGCGGATGAAGGTAACTAATGCACTGCTTGCACTTTTAGTCTTCTAAAATAGACTCAGCTGAGGTAATGACACTGGTATAGCATTACAGAAGATGTTTTTTTTTCTGGACTCCTTTTTAAATGGTTAAATTACATTTTATTAATCAAAAAGCATGTCTAATTAATTAAAATCATGAAACTTAAACAATCTAACAAATTTATTAAAAGTTTAACAAAAATTACATGTTTAGGGCCCTATGAAATGTTTTATTTTTACCAAATTCTGATTTAGCATGTCTAATTATTTCCAGTAACAAAGATCTTTCCAGGAATTATTCTTCACGGTTTTGGGCTGATGAATATTCTGTAACATCTGTAAACACTTACGTGTACTGTACCCCAACCTCTTGAACACACACACACTTGCCATATAGTCACATTCCTGTGATTCAAACCTTGAAGAGCATGAAAAGCAGAAGCAGTCTAAACATGTTTATTACAGGCGGATGAAGGTAACTAATGCACTGCTTGCACTTTTAGTCTTCTAAAATAGACTCAGCTGAGGTAATGACACTGGTATAGCATTACAGAAGATGTTTTTTTTTCTGGACTCCTTTTTAAATGGTTAAATTACATTTTATTAATCAAAAAGCATGTCTAATTAATTAAAATCATGAAACTTAAACAATCTAACAAATTTATTAAAAGTTTAACAAAAATTACATGTTTAGGGCCCTATGAAATGTTTTATTTTTACCAAATTCTGATTTAGCATGTCTAATTATTTGAAAGCATAAAAACAAGTTTCATTTATTCTTACAATAGCCTTATGCTTTTTTGCTTAGAAATTCTGTTGTGTATTTACATTTTTAAGATGTAAAATATTCATTTAATCTATCTTTTAAATAATGAAAATTAAACAAATTTTATTTTTTGGGAAATAAAGTTAATTTAATATTACAATTAAAACATTGAAGAAATATTGTGTGATTATTCCTTAAAAATAAGGTTTTAATAATTTTTGTAGTAGTAGTAGCCTATTACGTACATTCTACTGAACAATAGTAATATATTTCTGCCGCAATGCCTTCAAGTTAAACCAAACTTTTATTTTGACAGGTGGCCGTGAATACCTTTACATTTCTGTGCATATGATATGAGGATAGTTTTACTCAAATGAAATGATCAAATGCTCATGAAGTGACTCTCAGAGCAGTTCTGGTGATGTTGTTCATGTATTTATGTCCTCATTTAGTGAGACGGCAGATGCTAAAATCACCGCAAATGTCACACGCGCTTCAGTACAAGTGGTAAACAAAACCACACGTCTGCGCCATTCATTAACAGAGACACGAAGAATTCATATTTAAATAGTCGTTTTGCGGCTTAATATGTACAAATAAGAGTGGGAGTGTGCTCACTTGTGTGTGTGTGTGTGCACGCGCATCGGGGGCGGAACTCCGCAGTGCTTGATACAGAGAGCGCGACCATAACATAGAGACCAAAATGACATGCCGTCGTGTAAATAAGATAAATAACATAAGGCTATTTAGTTTGTTTAATAAAAGAACAAGGTATAGACCTGTTCTATCGGAAAGGTAACTTTAAATGACTTCTGTTGTGATCTGGCGCTATAGAGAAAATATAATTAAATAAAATTAACTTGACCTTCAAGGGGGGCGGGGGGTGCGCCCCCTAATATAATGGCAGGAGAAACACTGAGATATATATATATACAGTGGGGGAAAAAAGTATTTAGTCAGCCACTTTTTGCCCCACTGTATATATATATATATATATATATATAAAACAGAAGAACCAGACCCACTAAATAAACAATATAAATAATGAAATCGCACTTCACCAAATCACCCAATCTACACTCCAAACAATATTTTAACCAAAAAAGCTGTTTACACAGCAATTGTGTGACATCTGTCATTGAGAGTGATCGTTTGTTGTTGCGCTGAATTACCAACACTGTGAGTATTGCAAGTAAAGCACTAGTAAAAAATTCACTAGTTTTAAAAAAGGGCCCGTGAGAGTGAGTAAATGTTGACACAATTTTCATTTTTGGGTGAACTATTCCGTTAACATTAATAAAATAAAACACAAAGAGGAAAATAACTCGCTGCTCTTGACTGAAGAACTTTAATACAGTTGCTGAAGTTCAGCAGTATTAAAATAGCTTGAAATTTATCAACTTTTCACTTCATAACTTTTTGCACCAAAAAGTATCGATAACAGTATCGATAAGTACCAGTATCGATAAGCAATATCGGTATCCATAAAATGTAAATGACACCCATCCCTAGTCCTCAGTTTGACTAGTGTAGTATTTCTTGATATGATGTGAGTGAGCTGCTTACTGTGTGTCCTCTTGAGACTGATGGCTGAAGGGAATCTAGGTCAGGGACTGAGGGTTACGGGGCAACAGCCTAACAGACGAGGGAAATTTCCAGTGGTAAACGTACATGTACGTTCATATACGTAAAAGTATAAGAAACAAATACGTTGTTGATAGGGTGATTTATTACTGACAAGTCAAGAGTCAAGAGCCCTCCGACAAAATCAAATTGCTTAGAAAAGCGAAAGTAAAACTAGCACAACTCTTTA